GCACGCCCACCTCGGCGTCGACACTCGGTCGCCGAGTAGCAGACCCCCGACGAGCCGTCAGCCGCGGAGGTGCACACCCTGGAGGTCTGCAAGGAAGGCAGGGGTGAGGTTGGCGGCTCAGGGCAGATGGACTGTCGGGCGGGCGGACAACCAGAGATTGGTTCCGCTCGGATAACGGGGCTGCCTCGCCCCGTCAGGGAGGAGCGGGCGAGGTGTCTCGACCCACCTGCGAGGGCTGCTCCGCTGCAGCGTGCGCCTCGGGGACCTCAGAGGCGGTGGCGTTGGCGTCGTTAGCGGCGGTGGGCGCAGCGCCGGGGGTGGCGTGGGCGGAGTCCTGGGCGGCACTGGGGGCAGGCGGTCGGTACAGGACGCTGTCGAGCAGGGCGCTAATGTTGCTCCTCAGGCTGTGAAGGGTGGCCTCTGGGCGTGCCGCCGGCACCACCGAGTTGGATTCTGCAGCAGGAATAAGCATCACTTTACTTTAGAGAACCATGGTTCGCCGCGATCCGAAGTGAACTGAAAGTTGATCGGACCAACAACAACAACAACAAAATTAACTCGCTCGGTCAGGTTAGGACGGCGACGAGGTCTTGCACCCCAGGGCTCGGGCCGAAGTTTGCTCGGTATCTCGGAGTAGTAGTAATGCATGATGAAGAAGGCGGGGAGGGGCGGATCGGCCCCACCCCCCTCTCCTCAGGCGCTCCGCTAGGCGCCTCCTGTCCCGCCATGCCTCGACGCTCTCACGCGACCGAGTAGGGCTACACTGATAAATATATTCACCGAAATAAGAGCGGTGCCCACAACAGGAGGTTGTAAAGCGCACGGCGCGAGACCTTAATTGCAGCCCTTGTGGTCGAAAGCGCGTGTCGGCCCGCCGGTCTGACACCGTGTGATACTCGGTGTGATATCGTCGCGTACCTGGTCCTGACGGCATCAGGTCGATGGTGGCGGCCGCCTCGGCGCTATCCGGCTGCTGCTGGTGGCCAGCGCCGGCCGAGGGCCACGCCGGCAGCGCCCACTGCGGCTGGCGGTGAGACGCCGACGGCGAGGGGCTGGCCCACGCAGGTGGTGGCCTGGGGCCCACGGGGGCTGGCAACGACGGCGACGTCGTCGGGCTCCCGGGAGCCGGCCAGGACGGGCTCCAGGGCGCCGTCCATGACGGCGGTGAGCTGGGGCTCACGTGGGATGTCCACGGCGGCGGCCTCGGACTCACGGCTGAAGCCCACGGTGGTGGCCCTGGACTCACGGAGGGCGTCCAGGGAGGTGGTCTTGGACTCACGGAAGCGGTCCACGGCTCGTCGGCGGGGCCACTGGGCACCAGGATCAGCAGCGGAGTCACTGGCGCTCCCGGCGCCGTGGAGCTGGCCATCAGGTGCACGTCGGTGGCGAAGGGCGCCGGACGCTGGTCCAACAGTACCACGCTGGCGCCCGGCGTGGACGCCGGCCCTCGGTCCTCGGCCACAAAGTACGAAACGACTTCGCCAGGGTGCGGCACGACGGGCATGGGGTCCTCCTCCAGCGCCATGGTCCGGAACGTGTCCAGGTTGCCGTCGGGCACCGGGACGCGCCTCGGGCCGCCCTGCAGCGGCGCGCTGCTCGCGGGCAGGTACAGGTTGTGGGCGTTGTTCAAGTGGCCGGCCACAAGGCGCGTGCCGGAGCGTGTTCCGGACGCGGCCATGTGCCTCTTCTCCCTGGTGGGCGGTGCGCAAGGTGGTGCACAAGGCGGGCCGCGAGGCAGCGCCCCCATCACGTTCAGGCATGTGTGACACCACCTAGAAAGAGCGGAGGTCAGCGGGTCGGTCGGATCGGGTCGAGCGGGGGCTGCGTGGGGCAAGTACTCACAGAAGAGCCAAGAAGACGGGCACCAGGATCATCATTCAGAGACGCAAAGGCCAGGATCTGGTCCATGATTCCCACCTGGTCCAGGAGACATCACCTGTTCGCCGCCGACGTGTCCGCGTCGCGCCGACGGTGGTGGTCCGACACGGGAGCGAGCCTAGGACGGACGGCGGCGGAGCTCTCATGGCGGCATCCTGGGGGTTGTTCCGGGGCTCTCCTACGACTCCGAGCTGAGAGTCCAACGGACGCGGCTCTGTCGATATCCTCAAGTTAGTCTTTGTTGTGCACACCACTATCCGACTGCCGTGCAGGTGCGGCGCGCCCGCGAGGAGTTCGCTACAGTGACTACGACCAGGGCACTGGCCAGGCACCCGCCAGGGCTCGAGCCACGGCCAGACGCGCGTAGCACCGCGTAGCGGGTCACGGTCCGGCTCCCCCGAGCACCCGGCTCCCCCTCCGCTACCCCGGGACCATACCGGCACTGCAACATGTGTGTGGGCATCATAGGGATAACTTCTTCTTTGTAACATCATTACGTACGTACGGTGGAAAAGACTATGATCTGGTATAGTGCGTCAATGTGTTTTCACTAGGCAATCGCTAAACCTTTACTTTTTGTGATTGCCTGACTGTAAATTATAATCTTGTTGTCATGTGATTTTGAAATTTTTGACTTTGTGTTGTGGGTTGTGTGTTTGATGAACTACTTTACTTATAGCCGTCGACTCTTCGCAGTAATTATTTTATGAAAAGCGTTACATTGACGTATTTTATTAATAAATCTTAAACTGTCGGGAACACAATAATAAAAGTACAGGTACAAAACAGGGGACTAAAGTCCTACTTCCTCCCGTTGAGTATGTCTTGGATCTCTTGGAGGGACTTGCCCTTAGTGTTTGGAAGTAGGGTGAAGGCGAAGGCGGCGGAAAGTACACAACAGGCACCCAGCCCCCAGAACGTGAAGTCCGGACCAACGAAATCCATGATCCGTTCAAAGAACAGCGTGACCAGAAAACCGATCATCCAGTAAAATGTCGCACACGACGCCGAGGACACGGCCTTCACCTCGGTGCCGAACACCTCGCCGAGGAGTGCCCACGGCACGGAGCCCAGGCCGAGGCAGTACACCACGATGAAGAAGCACAGGCTACCGAGCGGCAGCGCCGCCATGGAGGAGGTGTCATGCCCCGTCGCCACCAGGTAGAAGAAGTACCCGAGGGCCGCCTGCAACACGGAAGCACGACTTGAAACATGGCTCTGCGGATGGAGTGGACTCCTGATTGGATTCCACCGAACACCGTGGGCCAAAACTTACGTGGGCCGCGGCGGCACCCAACGAGGACACGACAAAGAGCGTCTTCATGCTGACGCACGCGGTCAGGGCGACACTACTGACCGAGGCAACGACCTGCACCAGGCCGATGACGATGGCGCAGAGCTCGGGCGACAGCCAGGGGGAGCCACCGAATGCGCGCTTGAAGATGTCTTGCGCGTAGAAGAGGACGGCGTTGATGCCGGACAGCTGTTGGAACAGCATGAGCGCGCAGACCAGGCCGAAGGCGCGCCGGCCGCCTCGGGTCGCGAATATGCGGGGGAACGTCTGCAGCACGGAGCTGCGCTGGGACCGGCCCTGGGTCTCCTCCTGCGGAAAGAAAGCGAAGTTTTGTCACCGTGGTCAAGACCTAGCTCGTCTTCTTGACGCCTGGTGGACCACACCACCACCCACCTCCATGCGACGCAGCTCCTTATAGCACTGGTCGCGGCGCTGGCCGCGCAGCCACTGCAGGGCTGCGGAGGCGGCCTCCGAGTCCCCGTGCAGGCACAGCAGGTACGGTGACTCGGGCAGCACGAACGAGGCCACGCAGTACAGCGCGCAGCACGAGGCCAGCACGATGGCGAGGCACGTCGTCGACACGTACGGCCCCACCGCGTACGGCACCATGAAGCCCAGCGTCAGAGACAGCTGCATCGCCGTGCCCAGCGCGGAGCGGACGCGGTCCTGAAGGCAAAGAAGAGAGGATTCAGTATCGGGCAGTGTTCCCGGGCCGAAGCGGAAACACGACCACCGGCACCCGCACGCCGTCATACTCACCACGGCGATCTCCCCCAGGTACAAGGGCAGGATGCAGGAGACGACCCCGGTGACGAAGCCACCGATGAAGCGCGAGGCGTACAGCCAGTACGCCGAATTGGCCGCGGCCGCCAGGATCCAGGCAAGGAGCATGAGCACCCCGCTGCAGATGAGCGTCGGCCGGCGCCCGAACCTGTCGGCGAAGAGACCGCCGGGGATAGGCCCGAACGCGCCACCCAACGGGGTGAGGCTGGCCACCCACGCGGCCTCGTCGGCGGTGATCACGAAGCCGGCTGGGCCCTCCGGGTTCTGCAGCTGCGGCAGCGCGGGCGATGACCACGAGTAGACGAAGCCACCACACACGGCCGAGAGGTTAGCTAAGAAATTTTGAAATGATTATCACCGAATCCCAAATGAATAATGACTTTGATTTATTATTTAACAGAAATAAACAACAGAAAATCAGTAGGTTGATCGGTTGGATCCGGTTGGATCGAAATCCGTTCGACTGTTACGGTTACGCTACTTACCGGCGACTCCGGCCAGCAAGAGGTGCCAGTGGAGAGGAGGCGCGTTCGGCACGAGGCCCGCTACGCCCGTGGCCGTCGACGTCCTGGAGAGGCCCCTCCCGGACTCGCCCTTGGGAACGACGGTGGCCTCCTCGCCCCTCTCCAGGAGCGGGAGGGCCGACTTTTCGCCAGCCTGTTCGGGTGGCATGGTGGCTGGCGGTGTGGGCACGAGGCGAGAACACGCCGAGAACTGGCGGGTCTGCGGAAAGAGTGCGCATTAGCACTAATTAGAAGGCGATTACAAATTTGAATGGGCGCGGAGCTGGTGTGTGTGACCCGCGTGGGCGAGTGCGTGCGTGTGAGATGCGAGCCTCCGATGGTGTTATCAGGCATCGGGCCCGACGGGGGAGAGGGTAAGCCCAGAGGCGGCCCAGTGACGCCGACGACGACCTGATAAGAAAACCGAACTGCTAATTCTCAGATTGCCAAATCGAGATTCCCTTTTGCGCCTATGGTGCCTGCAGAAAGTGCAGAGTTGCCAAGACATAACCTTTTATTTTTGGAAATGAATGAAAAAATAAAACGTAGTGTCTTAACAAGTAAACGTCTCCATTCATGAAATTCTGTGTTTTTTCGGGCGTTTTTTTGTAGCACGTACTCTCTCCGCCGCTGTGACCTGAGCATGTGGACTCGCGACAACGGCGGTGTAGTGGAAGTGGCACCGGGACCGGGGGGCTCCGCTCATGCAGGCTCGCGATGACAGCGGCGCGACCTACCTCAAGGAGTGTCGTTGCGGTCCCCGGTCAGGGCTGAGGGCGAGGCCTATGGCTGCGCGCACCCGGACCCGGTGCGGTGGTCTGCCCAGCTTCAGAGCTTCAGGTCCGCCCGGTAACAGCAGCAGCAGGAGGGGCGCGGCGAACCGCAGGCTCGGGGCCCGCATCCGTGGCAGACTGTCACCTGCCAGGGCCGGGCGGGAGCGTCGGCGGAACGGCAACGGGTACAGAGATTAACGACAAAGTCCCTAGCACACTAGTGAGTGGGCGGCAAGGCGGTCATAAAGGCCTTTCTCCAATTGAACGAGAAGCGCCCGGCTACACCCCAAAGAATCGAAACAGGTACTTTGCGAAAGTGAAAAAGCAGAAGAGGAGGAATATCGTCTGCTGCTAGACCGTCACGAAGCCTCGGCCAGTCAGAGGTTGGCTTTCCGAAGCCGGCTACAGGAGAGGCCCTCTCTCCTTGGTCGAGGCTTGGCGGTGGTCCGCGGGAGTAGGCGAAATTCCTCTTTTTCACTTTCACAAAGTACCTGATAATTCCGAAGTCCGAAGTTGTTCCCAACTTTGTGCAGCTACTTACCCGGAGTGGGACGGTTCAGTGGCCGGCCTGGCCTGGGCGTGAGGTGCGCACACTCGGCGGCTGGTTAGCTCCTGCCAGCATCCGCAGCCGCTCCCATCTCAGCGTTGGAAAACAAACCAGCGCACGCTGAGCCGGACCGGGCAGGTGGACGAGCGGCGCGAGCTGCCTACATGGTCCGCGAGGGGCGACGCAGCAGCCACGCACGGCTCTGAACGAATAACGCGGCAGACGCGAGGGCGGGGGCGGCCGCGCGCGACCGTGTCCGGAGCGTGTCGTACGCCGGGACTCAGCGGGGCTCCGCCGCGCTCTGCGTGCTCCTCGCGCGGACTGGCGAGTCACTCCCTCCGCACCGGGCCGACCGCGCCGAACAGAGCACTTTGCGCCCCACGCGCGCGGCCCGCGCGGCCCGCCTCGGCGGTGCCGGTGGTGCTCGGTCGGACGTGCATAACTTATCCTGGGCGGGCCGGGCGGGGCCGGGAGGGCCGGGGTCAGCCCGAGCCGGCCGCACCCGTCGTGCGCGGAGGTGCGGCCCGGTGGTGCGTCCCGGTGCGGGGCCGGGGAGACGCACTCGGTCGCGTCGGACAAAGTTCGGACGGGGCGGCGGCGGGGAACGCCCAGCCGACGTTAGCGGGAAGCAACGCGCCACCGGCTGTCTCTCGCACACCGCGTGGTCGGGTGGTCGGCGGGGCGGCGACGGCGCCGCTAGGCGTCTGTGCTATCTTTGTCGTCGGGGCGCCGCGCCGGGCCGGTGGGGCCGCTGCCTGCACTGCTGCCAGCGCGGCCGGGCCACTGGCCCACCTCGAGTACTACGACCCAGCCGGAAGTCGGACAGGAGGTGCGGTTTGTTATTGTTTGGCACCCAGTTTGGCACAGCCCCGCAGTCCCCGTCGCCGCGCACTCATTGAGCTGATTTGATTAATTTGACTCGTGCTGGTTGGCTGCCCTGGGGCGGGCCGGAGAGGCGTGTCGGGGCGTTATCTCTTATCAAACGAACACACACGACCAAGGAAACGAGAGGGCGTAGCGTATGGGGCATGTGTAGTCAGACTTTTATTTCGTGCATCGAGGAAAGAGCGGTCCTGCTACAAGTGCGCATAAGCCTCAGGTTAAAGTTTTTGTTTGGGTTGTTATTTCAGCAAAGGATACAGAGGAGACGGTTTCTGCTTTGCAACCTTTGCAACGGTCGTAATTATCTCTGTAGTGTCCGTCGCCTCGCGTCGCTCGCTGGGAGCATGCGGCCGCGAAGTAGAGCGGAGCCGCTCGGTACGGGGTCCAGCCTTGCGGCAGACTGTACCTGCGCGCGCGCGGTGTCGCGGACCTGTGAACCTGCGGCTCCCGCGGCCTGCGCAGCGCGCTGTGCTCGCGGGCGCGAGTTGGTTGGGTTGCCTGCCAGCCGGGCTGCGCGCGCCGTGCGCGGCCTACCCCGCGCTGGCCCCGTGCGGCGCGCGCGCTCGCAGCCGTATCCTGGCGCCGTCCCTCGGGTAGTAGGTGACGCCCATCTTCATCCGGATGCGGCTCACGTCCCGCGGGCCGTCCGGGTCCGGCAGCACGGCGTACCGCCGCAGCACGCACGCCAGCTGCGTCTTGAGGAAGGTCATGGCGTAGCGGCCGCCGATGCAGTTGCGCGGGCCGGCGCTGAAGGGCATGAAGGCGGACGCGGGCCGCGCGGCCACGGCGGCGGGCAGGAAGCGGTCCGGGTCGAAGCGCGCCGGCTCCGGGTAGTACTTGGGGTTGTGGTGCGAGGCGAGCGGCGACAGCGCCACGAAGCAGCCCGCCGGCAGCGTGTGGCCCGACGGCAGCCGCAGGTCGCGCAGACAGCGGCGCCCGAACGCCGGGAACGTCGGGAAGTACCGCATCACCTCCTTCACGAAACGGTCCAGGTACTCGAGGTGCTCCACGTCGCCCTCCTCCAGTGGCCGGTCCGCGCCCAGCACGTCGTCCAGCTCCTGAACCCAGAACATTCAAACTTTCAAATAAATTCACGAACACCCACACTTTCGAAAAGTTTAGGCGAATTTTGTTTTTACACAATTTTAATTGTTTTTGTTGTAAAATTTTAAACACTTCAAAGTCATTGACGTGATCGTCAAGAACCATGGCCGCACTTACCTGGTGGATCCTGTCTTGCACGTCGGGCATGATGGACAGGACAAGGAAGTGGATGGACAACGAGTCCATGGAGGTGACGAAGCTGGCCGCCAGCATGGTCTTGAGCTCGCCGTACAACTCCTCCCTGGTGAACTGGCGGCCGCCCTCAGACGCCAGGACGTGGTCCAGGAACGCCTTTCGCCCGCGGGGCGGCGTGCCTGTGCTCTTCCCGTCCCCGCCCTGAGGACATAAATCCCCATGTGCCATCCAGGAGTGCGCAGGAGGGGAGGGGTATCTCCCGTTCTCAGGGAAGCCGCACTCACCATTTTGTGGTTCATGACGTCGAGGATGAGGCCGTCGTAGAGCTCGTTGACTCGCTGGTACGCGGCGTAGTGCGAGTCCCAGCTGAAGAGCCAGTCCCAGTGGTACCAGGGCCGCACTGCGCGGTACATGAGCACGGACGAGAGCGTGTCCACGTGCTCCACCACCTCGCGGCGCAGCTCGGGCCCGAAAAGCTCGCCGCTCGCGTTCAGGATGGTGCGGAAGGCCGAGTCGATGGCCGCCACGCTGCAGAGCTGCACCACGTCGAACACCTGTGGGGCCGCCCGCAGTGAGTTTACCAGGTGGCTGATTTGCCGCAGTTTAGGCGGTGTCCGCGTGAGTTTGGTACAGTCTAACGACTGCCTCGCTGCACGCTGCAGTCCACTGCAGTCACGACCAAACCTACCTCCCCGGAGTCCGCCTTCGGGCGCAGGTTGTCGACGAGCTCCATGGCGACGCCCTGCATGAGCGGCTGGAACTGCTGGATGACCTCCCGGTGCAGCGAGGGCAGAATGGACTTGCGGTGGCGGCGGTGCTCGGCCCCGTTGAGCACGAGCAGGCCCCTGCCCAGGATGGGCTCGATGAGGCGGTACATGATTCGGGGCTTGTGCGCGCAAGCGGGCGACGACAGCACCGCCTCCACGTCCTCCGCGTCCACGACCCACACGGCCAGCAGGGGCCCGAACCACAGCCGGAAGAGGGTGCCGTACTGACTCACCATGCGCTGCGCCGTCAGAGGGCAGAGGGGTCAGTACATTGTGCGGGTCAGCACTGGGGCACGGAGTACAGCAGGCGCGGTTTTAGGGCTGGTTGTCAGGGGTTGGTCTGTGGGCTGTCCACATGCAATGGTTTTGTACAGCGAATTGCCCGTCTTTCATGCGGCATTTTGAAGGCCAACAGAGAGGAGGGAAGGCTCCTCATGCATGACTACATGTAGTCCCTTTAACCGCACCTGGGACTTGGTCGCGGAAATGGCAAGTCACACCCCGTACCTGGAACGACCTCTGCAGCCTGGACCGGGAAATGTTGAGGAAGTTGCCCACGACGGGCAGGGTCGGAGGCCCCGGGATGGAGGCGGCCACCTTCGCCATTCTGCGGACGTCCTGGTACCACTGGACGAGCAGCGGCAGGGCGACCACCGCGGCGGCCGCCAAGAGGGAGGCCCAGGACCAGGCCATCTCGCACGACCTGCGACACCGACTGGATTGCCGGAGGCTCGACGGCGTCTCCTGCGGCGTCTCTGTCTCCCGGACGGCGGGGAGGTGAGGGAGCGGTGCAGGCGGCTCCTGCTTGTCTCCTGACATACGGCGCAGGCGTGACAGCGCCGTAATGGTTTCGCAGAAGAACAGCCAATTTGGGATGAAGGTGTCGGGGTAGGGTAGGCCGGCCTCGTGTGGTGGCGGAGCCCACCCGGAAGGGGAAGGTGCACTGTGATTCCTAAAGGCAACTTTTGTGTCGGCCGGGGTATTTGTACAAAAAGATGCTTTGGTGAGGGCAACATGCCTGAGATGTCGCCCTGATCAGGGAGCCTCCAGTTTCCCGCAGAAAGGCAACATTTGTGCGGGCGGGCGCGGCGACAGAACGCGCCGTGCGCGGGGACACTCCCGCCCCCCTCCTAAAGGCAACTTTTTCTACCGCGCGCACGGGCAGTCCCTCCGCCCGCAGGGAGGCAAGATTTCTGCT